CGGGACACCTCCTCAGGCCCACCGTGCTCTTCGCACAGCTCCTTCTCCGCAACATTCCCCCTAGCTCGGTCCTGCTCCTACCCTGCTCCTTCCCTGCTCCTTCCCGCTCATTGCCGGAGCTCCTACTACCCAACTCTTTCTCACTCGCCGCGCTCACCCCTCTTGCAGGTGCGCCCCAGCTACTCCCCGCAACCCTGTCTCACAGCCTCTCCCCTCGCCCGTTCCCACAGGTCGGCCCCCCCATACTCCTCCCCCCGCCCCGCCTCCCGTAGCCCCGCCCATGGATCCGCCCCCCCGCTCGCCTAGCCCCGCCCCTTAGCCCCCACCCCATTTCTCTTCTAATTTCCGGTTGCGCCCCAGCCGCCCGCGTCTACCTCCCGATCCACCGGGATCCTTCCCCGCGAGTCCGGGCTGGGTGAGTCCACACACGTCTCCCGGCGGCCGGGGCTTCCGCGCCTATGTGCGTGCGTACGTAAGTGCGTGTGTACGTAACTGCCTGGCTGCGTGCCTACGCGCTTGCGAACGGGCGTGTTTTCGTACCTCCGTGTGCGTTACGTGGGTTCGAGCCGGCGTAGGCCCCGCAAAGAAGGGGCGCCGGCGTCTGTGGCAGCCTGTGAGCTGAGGGAGCGCCGAGGCCTGTCACCGGTCAGCGGTCCCCGGTGCCGGGCCGCGGCGATGGCGGGAGAGCCACGAGGCGGGCCGAGCGCTCTGTCCGCTCTCCGCGGCCCGCGCCGTCTCCCGGCCTGGGCGTGGGAGGCGGTCGTGCAGGCGCTGGCCGCCTCGCCGGGTCACGCGGAAGCGGACGGTCCCGCCTGGTGGCCGCAGCCGGGTCAGCCAGGGGCGCCCGCGACTCGGTGCCAGGAGACCCGCCCGCCACAGAGGGAGCCAGGAAGCCCCTGCTGCTGAGGCCCGCCGGGCCCTCCGCGGGCTGGGACCTGTGGGCTGGGGTTTTCCGGGCCTTGGGGGGGCGGATCTGGAAGCAGGCGCAGAGCTGCGCAGGCCACCCTTCCCTGTCCCCTCCTCCCGCCAGGGTCACAAGCCCGCCATCCTTCTAAGTGCATGTGCAGGCAATGGACCTGTGCCCAGAGAAACAGGAGCATGCTGGTCCAGGAGCCCCAGCCCTCCCTCACTGCGTCCCTCCCCGCCTCCCCTTGGCCCCCTGGCTGTGGCCTACCTGAGGTCCCAGGCTGTGCGGTGTTGCACTGGTTACCCGTGGCACTCCTCCCAGTGGGGCCTACTCAGGATTTTATTGAGGGCAACGGGATCGTGGGGCCCCCAAGTCCTTCCCCTGTGACAATGTGAGGGAGTGGTGTCACCTTTCTCCTGTTGGATAAGGGGGCTGCTAGGCTGTGAGAACACAGTCCCTTAAGGTGAGGATTTTGTCAGCTACTGGCTGGGGCATCATGTGATTAGCAGAACCCAACCTTGAGTGAGGTGTTTCCCATCCCATGGGCCCTCCTGAGTCCCAGTGGTCCCCCATCCCTGCCGAGTAGAAGACCTGTTCTGGCACATTAGCCAACATTGTCCTCTTGTACCGGATGACTTTTTCTTCTCCCCCCACCCACCCCGGTCCTTGTGCGGGTGAAGAGGCCCAGACAAGTGGAATAGCGTTTCCTCCTCAGACCACAAAGCAGGTACTCTGCGTGGTGAGACAGGAGGGCAGCTTTACAGTTCCATCCCTCTAGGGGTTCCGCCCACACAGTTCAGTTCTCCTTGTGTCTTTGCGGCCCTGATGAGAAAAAGGTTGGCCAAGAAACTGAATGGCAGACATGAGGCAAACCTGCAGTCCAGTTATATACCCTCGAGAAGAAAGAGAAAGGGCCAGGCCGCAGGGGGATATCCAGCCTCCCTCGTGAATAATCCGGACCCAGCGAACAGGGCGACCCTTTGTCCCCCATCGGGCTGGCAGAGCTTAAGCAGAGTAAGGATGCTCAGGGCCGACAAAGGAGTGAGGAAGTGGAGCCCTTGTCCGTGGTTGGTGGAGCGTGCACAGGGGAGCCTTTGTGGAAGGCGATGTGCTGGCCTGTATCAGCATCTCAGGTGTGCATGCCGTGACCCTCGCCGCCTTCTAAACGTGTCCTCTGCCAACGAGCGTCTGTGGTGGTGTCCTCTGTGGTGGCAGGAAGTGCAAAGCAGTCTGTGAGTCTCCGTCAGTAAGGGACTACTCAGCAAACTGTGGGACGGCCAACCACGGGATGCCACACAGGCAGTGAAAAAGATGATAGATGGAGATGTACAGACAGAAGGAATGTGCCGGGTGTGCCCTTGATGGAGAAATCAGTGTGCACCCTGTGGAGACGTCCAGGACAGAGCTTGCACCTGCCTCGGAATTAGCTTGCCAGGGTGGTTGTATCAGACTACCACAGACTGGGTGGCTTCAACAACGGGAATGCATCGTCGCCCGTGTCTGGGGGCTGGAAGTCCGAGCGCAAGGCCTCGGCTGAATTTGCCTCTTCTGAGAGCTGGGAGAGAATGTGTTCCGTCCCTCCCCCCCCCGCCCCCCACCTTCTGGTGGTTTCCTGGCCCTCTTTGGCATCCCATAGCTTGTAGATCTCTGCCTGCGTCTTCACATGCCTGTCTCTACACCCTTTTAAAGGGACACCAGTCCTACTGGGTGAGGGTCTGCCCAGCTGAGCTCATTTGAATTCACAAGGTCTGTAAAGACCGAAATTCCTTTACCTATGAGGTCGTGTTCTGAAGTGCTGGGGAGTGAGACTTCCAACACACGAATTTGATGGGGACATAATGCCACCCGTGACAACCTATGAAAGCCCTGAGGGAGGGATGAACTTGGCGTGTTCCGGGGATGGAAGGAAGGCCTTTGTGGCTGCAGGGTGGTGAGTAGAGGGGTGAGGGGAGCAGACGGCGGGGGGGGGGGGGGGCGGTTGGGGGCAGATCACGTGGGGCCTTTGGGCCCTGGCGAGAAGTGTGGATCTGTCCTGGACGGGACAGGAGGCCCCTAGAAGGTTGTGGCAGGGGAGTGACACGATGGATCACTCCTGTACCAGAACCACTCTGTCCTCGGTGCGGACCCTGGAGTGCTGCGCTCCAGCGGCGAGGCAGAGGGTGACCGGGAGAGTGCTCGAGAGGGCAGCGGGACCTTGGGAGCCTGAGGCTGTGATTGTGGCCCTGCAGACGATGGAGACCGGTCGGGCTCTGAGCGGGTTTGGGGACCGGCGCCCACGTGACGTGAGTGCCGGGTGCGGGAAAGGGAGCGCAGGCGGCTGCTAGGTCAGGGGGACTGGAACAACAACAGACTGGTGGTGAAACCACTCGCCGAGGTGGAACGGAAGCGGATTTGGGGTGGGGTGGTTGGGAACCTGGGGCTGCTGGCTGTGGAAGGTTGAGACGAAGCGGGCATGGCCTGTGTGAACGGGGGCAGAGCAGGCGAGCGTGCGATGTGCAAGCCTGAGCAGAAGGGAACGAGAGGCGGTCAGCCGCGTCCGGGCTATCCGGCCACGAGTCAGATGAGGACAGGACAGGCACGTGGCGGGTCGAGGGTGTGTTCGTGGAAGGTGGGGTGCGGTGCATGGCGAGGAAGTAGAGGCTGCGAG